CTGTACAGCTTCCAACTTCTAGGCTATCATAATCCAATCACTCCATGTAAGTGATGATAGCATGCTACAGGGGTCTATGAAAGATAGTACAAGGAACAAACCCATTCCCTAGACGTTAAAAGAGAAAGTCAGGATAATTTGTCTGGACACATAACTTTAAAGGAAAATCCACTGCCGACTAATGCAGCCCGCTAGCTATGAATGCAGAAATTAAAACGCAAATTATAGTAGGCCAATAAAGTAGTATGAGGTATTTACAGCTCTCTTTGACTGGTAAAGCAAGGATATCTGACTTACCGGGAAGGGTGGCAAGCAGCTCTCATTTTATAATGAAGGAAATTCAAACGAGAAACAAACCAGAAAACAGGTGGATCTTTATTAAATTGAGGGATGGGTTATTTCTCTATTTAATCTAAAATACTCTAAATAGGGATGTTTTTGAATTGCTCCTAGGTTCTGAGGAAAGATGTATCTCCTGGAGATACCACATGTCTGGACAATTAGCTTACTTTCAATAACTACAATGTATTGTGCTAAATTCTCTTCTCTACAAAAGCTATGGTCCTCACACTCAGCAGGGCAGTACATCTGCCATTCCCCAGCCCCCGGCCAGCTCTGAGATGTTGCAGGTAGAGAGAAAAGCTTTTCCAGATGCACACTGACAGAGAAACCACATATGCACAATCCAATTCAGAAAGCATGAGTGTTTTTCTTCAAACTTGTTTCTTTCTCATTCTGTGAGCAATTCAGTCACTGACAGTTCCCTAAATGGTATCATTTTAATTCCAAAAGCATTAACCTCACTTCCCCTGAGGATTTTGAGATGTACATCATGACAATGTATTTTTTAAATTTCTTAATAGTGAGAAACTTCAGGCAGTCCTTCATAATACAAAATAGGAGATGGAGGCGAAAAGAAGCCCAGCTTTGGGTTGAGTGTTTGGAACAGGTTCTTCCTCTGAACCTCGAGCTGTCCACAGATAGCTGTGGGGTGGGGTGGGGGGTCTAAAATATATGCTAAATTCGGTGTCATGTTTTCTTCTGTGGCTTTCTATCACTGCTAGATTTTAAAGCAGTCTAAAAATATGAAGAAGAACTAACCCCGGTAAAACTGAGGGCAAGTACCACAGGTCAGTCCAAATGTGTCCTTCACCCAGTCAAGCCCTGGCCCTGGGGAGAAAATCACCTGCAATAAAGCTAGCATGCTCGAGTCACTAGAGGCTTATGAGCACATTAGACTTCTAAAGAAAACAAATCACAAGAAGCAAATCCATACCATGTATTTGTCTTTGAAAAAATATGCCAGGGAAGATATTTAGAAAAAAATACAAGATATATACGTATACATAAATATATATTTACATGTAAATAGATACTATATATTTAATTTACTGAATGTCAAGAAACTTTGAGTAGTTTTATAAGACACGCTCTTGGTGAAGATACTAAGAATTCTCATTCCTACCTCACACTGATTTATAAATACAATTCGAATAAAAATTTTGTTTTTCTAGAAGAATGAACATATGAGGAAACCCAAAAACATTTTTTTAAAGTATGCAAAAGAAATGGAACCGTCAGATTCTGAGATGTATTGTAATGCTACAATAAGATAGGGCATAATACACAAACATATCAAAGACAACAGAAAGCCCCCAACAGTCCTAAACAAATTTGGAGGAAATAAAAGTCTGTTATAGAATTAATTAGCAATTTAGAAAAAAAGTTGTCTTCGATCTCTAGCTCAGACTGTATACCAAATTAAATTTTTCATATGAAATGGAGTGATGGAAGGAGAGAAAAAAAGAAGAAGGAAATCTTTCAAGAAATATGAAAACATTGGTAAACTTAGATTAGAAAGTCTTTTAAGCTAAAAGAAGAATCAGAAATTATATAATGAAAGGATAGATTTGATTATGTAAATATTTAAAACTTCCACACATCAAAAAATACAGTAAAATTAAAAACAAGTGATAAAAAGTAAAATAACAGTTTCAAAATGGTAATTCTTAGGGATAGATATTTAGGAAGAAAAAGCAACTATGGCAACACGGTAATATACATCAGAAACCTTAGAAAGGCGTATACTCTTATGTACAGCAATTCTACCTGTCAGTATTTATCCTAAGATAAAATACTTCTACACAAAGACTTACAGTACTGTTATTTATAACACATCATGTATAACTGAAATTTTTATAATTAGTAAAAATCATTTGAAGAGTTTAAATTAAAAAGTAGTCTATAATGATTCAAATTTTTATTTTTCAGTATTAAATTCACATAGGCCTATCATGTTTCAAAATATTGACAAGTTTCTCTGAAACAGAATCATAGAAAGTTTCTTTTGCTTCACGACTTTTCTGTGTATCTTCAAGTTTTATTTTATCTTGTAATGTAGGGGAACATTTAAAACCCTATGAGAGATTTTCTGAGATCAGTAAACAAACCCTTGAAGCAGGAATCTACAGAGCAAGCCTCTGAATAATAGCCGTCATATTTTCTATGAACTGATTATACGAGAAAATATAACCCTCCCACAGGATGATAAAAACGGAAGTTCGTCTTTGTGCCCTTGTACTGAAATCCCGTGTCGTGCGGTATGACAACACCAGCACGTGTTTGCAGATTCTTCTCCAGGAGGGCTTGAGAAGCCTGTCCGCCCAGGGCTGCCGGGCACTCACGGTGGCAGTGTAACTGTGCAGGAGATCTCTACGTCTGCCCAGGGGCTGCCCGGGCACTCACGGTGGCAGTGTAACTGTGGGAATCTCGTCTGCCCAGGGAGCTGCCGGGCACTCCACCGGTGGCAGTGTAACTGTGCAGAGATCTCCTGCGTGCGCCCAGGAGCCGCCCGGGCACTCACGGTGGCAGTGTAACTGTGCAGGAGATCTCCTGCGTGCGCCCAGAGACACCCGGGCACTCACGGTGGCAGTGTAACTGTGCAGGAGATCTCCTGCGTGCGCCCAAGGCCGCCGGGCACTCACGGTGGCAGTGTAACTGTGCAGGGAGATCTCCTCGTGCGCCCAAGGCCGCCGAACTCACGGTGGCAGTGTAGCCTGTGCAGGAGATCTCCTGTGTACCTCTCCAGGTCTGCGCCCTTTCTGGGCCCCACTGACAGGCCCCGCCGGGCACTCACGGTGGCAGTGTAACTGTGCAGGAGATCTCCTGTGTACCTCTCCAGGTCTGCGCCCTTTCTGGGCCCCACTGACAGGCCTGAAATGATAGGCTCAAGTGCTACCGGTCTGCTGACTTCTCTCTGGGTTTGGCCAATGGGAATGACGGTGGGGGACCAGAGAGTGGGATGAGAAGAGATCAGGCTGTCTGCCCTCAGCATCCAGCCTCGCATGTCACTACGGACCGGCGGCACCTCCCGGCTGAGGGCTGCAGGTCCTGCCCAGCAGTTGTCTCCACACCCCTCAGCCTCCCTCTTAAGTTCTAGCTTCCGATAGCCACTCCTACTCTTGCCCCTTCAGGCCTGGGTGTGGTAAAAGCTTGTTCTTGGTACTAGCCCCAGAGTAGCGCTCTCTTACTGCTTTTCCTAAACCCCGTGTGTACCTTTGTGACAGGTCTCTAATAAACTCTCCTCAAATCACTCCATTTGAGTGCCAGCTGATTCCTGATCGTAGGACCCTCATTCATACAGTCATATACGTAATTACCCTAGAGAAAACAAAGTTAAGTGCATTTGGACTAAACAAAGCAAAAGGAAAAAAGTGACCTAACGTTGTTTAGGAAATTTTCCATTCAAGTTTGGGTTAAACAGAAGTTCAGCCCTATGCTACTTCTGTGCTTCAATTACCTAGAACATCCTTATGCTTTCTTTACTGCTGTGTCTGAATTGCTCTGCTTAGAGGAAACAATCATTTTCCACCCTTGTGCTATTCACTTTTATACAATTCTGATTTTTGGAGAATCAAAAGTGGGCAAGACGACTTAAATCACTATCCGTATTTTCATCAAGGATATGAGTTTTCATCCTGGAAGTCAAACACCACAGAAAGAAAATGCTGTGAAGTAGCCAATGCCCTGCAGAGTCATAAGCAGCAACTGTGTAAATGAAAGCTAGAAATGATCTCAAGATTCCACTGCCAGTGTGTTCTCAATCACTGGAGTAATCTGATATTATAGAAAAACCTACCGAACCACCCAACTTTGATCTGTTCATATCTATCAATGAACAGGAACGGAAAAAAGCGTTTTTCTATAACCGGATAGATAGATAGACCTTAATACACACACACACCCCTAATAAAAACAACAACTATAAGCCATGTATAGGTAATCTCTAAATATCAGGAAGAAGGCAAAGAGGTTTCAGGGATATATACACACACATGCAATTCTTAATATCTTATATACCCATCCTCTAATGCTTTGGTGTCATTTTACAGTGCATGTGAAACTTTCACTTAAATAGTAACCATATCTAGATTCCCATTTCATTTAAATAAATTCAAGTAAAGTTCCTTGGCAGGTTTCCAGAGAGTTAGGTTGCTTTAAAGTTGGCCATGCATTAAATAAAGCTTTGTCTCACAAAAGTGAACGAGTAACTGATATGGTATCTGTACATTCACTCTGCACAAGGTTCCTTTATCTCCAAAGCATTACTCAAAGACAAACAACAAATCAGATTACAGCTCTAGAGAACCATACTCTGCCTCTTCTAGCAACACTGCCAGCTCACAAAATCGTATGAGGACCAACTACCGGCTTCCTGAGGGATTTGCAATCTGCCTTCTCCATCAGGTCCCCCAAGGTTCTCCTGCTTCACACACATGCCCCCTTTCATTCATTCCACTGCATTCATCTTTCAGCTTTCAGAGGCTCGTTAACAATAAGCGTGCAAAGGTTCACTTTAACAGCAAAACCAAAAAGAGAGCCTTCAGCATTACATTTTATAATGAAACAAAACCCCAGATTCTGAGAGTCAACTAAGCTAGAACTAAAAGCCATTGCAGGAAGAGATTCATTCCTGGGTCCCTAGCTTCTTTTCACATTACCTGCTTCAGTGTACTTCAGTCCCACTTTTTCTTCTGTGTCTTTTGTCTTTGGGGGTGGCCAGACAGCTTGAAGTCTGCCAGGAGTCCTGTCATCCTGCTCAGTCGGGCTGTGGTCAGGCTGTGGAAAGAGCAGGCAAATAAGAAGTGAAATGTAGTCAGAGCCAATTAATTCCTGAAAAATGACATGCTAACCCTAATTCTGAAGTTAATTTGAATGGCCAGTTGCACATTGCTCTCATTCACTGTAACTGAGATATCTTTCCATAGTGTGACCCTTTTCCAGAAGTATAACATGATCAGTTGAGGTGAAAATTTAAAACGACGAAAAAAACCTCGAGGCTAAGGATGTATCACACAACCCTTAAAAGATGATTTTTATTAATTTCAAAAAGCACAAATATACTTTGACCTGAAGATACAGACATAAATGTACTACACCGAAGTACATTTATAGGAATGTTTACAAATGTATCCCAGACTCCAGGATTATTTAACATAAAGAGTAACTTCATGAACATCAGTGGTAGACCAAGACACACTTTTTCAAACATTCCACACTGCTAAATTTCCTTTTATTGCTATAAACGAATGAATGAGATTACCTTCATATTCCAGTCATTTTTATATGGCTTGATTTTTACAACTAGGAGAATGTTACATTGTGCTCGGTTTTTTAACTGCAATCTGAGACATTTTGCCACAGACTTTCATTTTTAACATTCTAACTGAATATTTTAAATATATAAGAGGAATGATAATCATACACTGAACTGATATTAAGCAAGAAATTCTATTTATTGTTCTTATGATCGTTTAAGATCTACTGGACAGGTACTCGCTCATCTTTAGAAATTACCTGAGTTAGTTTTCTTTGAGTAATAACAGCTTCCATTAATTAGATGCTTCTCATGCACTGCCTTTGTTTAATTCTCGTAACAACCATATACCCATTTTATTTTCCTCATTTTGCACATGAGGAGATTGAGGCTTGGAGATTATTAAGGTTACCCAGTCAGTAAATGGCAGAAGTAGAATAAAAACCCAGGTCTCATTCTAAATCCAGTGCTCAATCTGGAAGCCTTCCATTCGATGTGAAACACTCTAATCACACCACGAACACCTATTCTGCCAAATGGCAGACTTTCAAAGGAATGATACAGTTTCTGCGGAGGTATAATTAAGTAGTGAGGAAACCCTGTAAACTTGGGCTATACTTCCATCTTGCATCACTTCCTCATGCTACTTAGTTTTATCAGTGCATTTACCATCAACATTTAAACTCACGGTGACAGTTACCCTTTTCCTACCTGCACATCTTTATGTATATCCCTCTTGTAATATTGCAGATAAAAATCAGGAAGCATGAAAAGCACTTCCGGCTAAGTCCGTACTCCTTACGGGACAACATAATTTGGCTATAATCCTTTTCCACCTAAAAGAATCACTAACAGGCAACTAGGATTCACTTTGGGAGGAAACCTGGAAAGAAATACAGCTGCACCATATTTTGTATTAAAATGCAAAACCCAATTCTACATACACTTTTGGAATCAGAAGGGCCATCCGCTGGCTTTGACTTGGAACGTTCAAACACAGCTCTTAGCGACTCCTTCTCATGTCTCATCTTGCGCTTGAGCGCTTCCAGCTCAGAGGTGTCGGCTGTGGTCCCCTTTCTGGGGGGCCGGATGAATAAGGCTTTAAAAGCCTCCAGGGCCGTCTCTGGTGGCTTTGGCTTGATCTCACCACCCTGGGTTGGGGCTACTCCAGGGCTGCTCTGGCTCTCTTGATCCGCGTTGCAGCCCATCTCTTCTCTCCTGGGCGACTCAGGGTCTGCTCCCTTCGGTTCAGTTTTGGGTATGTCAATGTTGAGCAGCAGAGAGAGCTGCTCTAGGAGAGTGGGAGTGGCCTTCGGCTCAGCTGCTTTCTCCTCACTCTTCACTGTCTGTGGCTCTGCCTGCACTAAGGACTTCTGCACAGGCTGGGTCAATTTGAGCAAAGCTAAGTCCCCATCCTTCGGTTTAATTTCAGTGATGGTCTCTCCCCCCTCAGCAGTAGCCCCCTTCTTCAGCACACGAAGCCCGCTGAAAAAAGCTGGAAGTTGGAATGACTTCTCTCCAGAGGTTTCTTTTTTAGAAGAGGCACTCTCAGTGACACCAACACTGGAATTCTGGCTTGTTACTGCAGGTAGGACTCGGGACCCTTCTTCTCCCACCTGGCCCTGGCTGGGGCGATACTCTGTCTGAAGACCACCATTGCCAGCTTCCAGTCTGCTGCTTATCTCAGGTGGAATCCTCTGAGGCTCTTCTGCACAGAGCTCTGCACCATTCATCCCCCCAGTGATAGTATCTTCCCTGAAACCTCCTGGGTTTTCCTGGGACTCCTGAGATGGCTCAGATAAAACAACACCAGGGGACTTTGGGCCATGGGTGCTGCTTCCCTCCTCTGGCTCCTGGCCACCATCATCGGAGTCGGAATCACTGGTGGTGTGCACGAGGGTCCCACGAACACAAAGGACATCGTCCTTTGTCCCTTTCCAAGTAGAGAGGGGAAGCAGCTCTTGAGCAAGGAGAGATGTCCCTGCTTCTTTTCTCTGACTTCCCTCTGATTCTGTCTCCACCCTTGCAGTTTTCTCATCATTTCCGAGGTCAGGTGAAACCTGAGACTCTGCTTCCCGTGGATCCAAGCCATTGCTGGGATCATCCTGCTGAGATGTGGGATCCACGTCTAAACTGTGGAATGCTTTCAGCACAGCATCTTCCTCTTCTGGATTCACAGATTCCAGCTTACTCGTAAACCCAAACAGGGATTTCATAGAGAACTTACTCAGGATCGACTGAGCCACTTCAAGTCCAGCTTCAGGTTTTGCGGGTTCTGAGACATCACTGCCATCCAGGGAATTATCAACGTTCTCCATGTCTCAGTAATGCCCTTGGTGGAAGTTCTGACTTGTGTTACCTTCTCCCGCTCTCTCAGTTTATCCACTCCATCTGCTCTTAATTCACAGGACAGACAGCAATGGGAACCGGGAGTTAGGCTGTCAGCCGCACAGCAAACACACTTGGTCTCTTTCAAGTCACTGCGCCCTCCTTCCGGTTTGTGCGATGATGGTACGCCAGGGCAACTGGGAAAAGCCCGTGGAGTCTAAGCCCAGAAGCAGCCGAGACCGCGCACCTTACTACACACGGACCCGGGACGCTGCTCTTCTGAAACTTCCGTATTTATTCCCGGGGACAAAAGCCTTTTTGTCATAGGGAAAGTCAGCCTGCCCTGTAATCCCAGCCCAGGACTTCACGAGGAGCTCCGCCCCAGGCCGGCAGTTCTCCTGGTGGCATTCAACTTCCTCATTGGTGAGCAAGTGAAGGCTTCTGAAAGTGCTGAGCCGGCAGGCTGATTCTGAAGGAACTTAAGCCACTGCCCGGAGAAGCCTAAGGGAATCAGAAGTGAATCAGCAGAAAATGACTGAAATACTTCTGACACAGGCCTTCTTTTTCATCTGGATTATGATCAGAGAGGCCTGGGGCATCCAGGCCAAAAAACTAGCATACACCCAGATCAGCAGCCACTTACAATGCAGCAATCAAGGAAACGAATTAAAGAAAGCAATAGATCATCTCAAAAGTGCCTAGAACTCTCAAAGCAGTTAATTTACTGCCCTTTAAGCTTTTTTTTTTTTTTTTTTTTAAGTGCTTTCTTCCGCTTCCCTGCAGGTTTCATCTGGAATGCAGATTTTAGCTGCTAAAGCCCGTGAGGGAAAACCCACACGACTGGTTTCAGATGACTGCTGTTTTAGCTCTGCCCTGGCTGTCTCAGTGCTCTACAAACAGGTACTAGGCAAGCACGCCCACCACACCCAGCGTCCACCAGCAACACGGTGGCAGAGTAAACAGCCCCGGCTCGGCAGGAATGATTACCCTCTACACTCCCTGTGTCAACCACAGGCTTCTTTCTGCTCAGCAGCTGTGACTTCCCGGCTTCCTTAGAAACCCGGGCAGCAGCAGGACACCCCTTTCCCCTTTGGTGTCCCAGCCAACTAAATGAAACCCGGCATGACACAGTGTAACACACAACCGACCCTATTAGACAAAACAATGCAAAGATCCCCAAGGATCCGTATCCCGCTAAAGGGCAAAACATGTGAAAAGTCTCTATCAGTCAGATCTCTATCACAGACCCAATTTGCCCGAACAAAAACAGGACAGACAAAACAACCTCCAAACATCAGCCCAGGGTAGTTTCTACCACGCTATTCATATGCTGGGAAGCTGGCACCAAAGAATGGGGGTAAAAACTGCAGCCCTGTTTCCTAGCTGCATAGCTGCCTCTTGGGACAGCTGCCTGTCTACCTGAAGGGCTCAGCGTTTTTCAAATCCAGTCCCACTCAGCAGGCATACAATCAGTGCCTGGGATGGACAGGACACTGTTCTGGATGGAGAGGCAAATCAAACTGGCTTAACAGTAATTGCCATCTCTCTTTGAGCAAAGGTCCAAGACGACTGCGGTCAAGTGTTAAACACAAACAGTAATTCCTTCTGCAAAATGGAAATGGTAGCCGTAAGGAAAATGACAGTCTGGCTTTATCTGCAAGAAGGGGTGGCTACATGTCACATATCGATAACTTGAGCTATGCTCTTCAGTACTAAAAACAATCTAAGTATTAATACTGAGAAATTCGGATTCAAAAATACATTTCTAGCAATGTATTCAAAAGGAACACTCACACAGATAAAAACGTATCATTGCATCCCACCAACCACTAAGGGAAAGTAAAACACTTTCTAAATCTTGATTTGATCTTGTGTTTAAAACAGGTACTTCTTCTCTGTTTGCTCCTGATCATAGTGTTTTCGGGGATTATTAACTGAGGCACACTTAATCAAAAAGCCACCAGGACACTGCAGAAAAATTCAATGGTGTCTTTCAAGTCTCAGAACAAGCTTCTTGTCTAGAGGAAATACCCATTGATTAAAATCAGACATCTGCTTCTTCAAGACTGTAGAAAGAAGAAATCATCACAACAACAGATCATAAGATCAGTCTTTTTTTTTTTTTTTGGAGACAGAGTTTTGCTCTTCCTGCCCAGGCTGGAGTGCAATGGTGCGATCTCTGCTCACCGCAACCCCCACCTCCCAGGTTCAAGCAATTCTCCTGCCTCAGCCTCCCTAGCAGCTGGGATTACAGGCATGCGCCACCACACCCGGCTAATTTTGTATTTTTAGTAGAGACAGGGTTTCTCCATGTTGGTCAGGCTGGTCTCGAACTCCCAGCCTCAGGTGACCCACCCACCTGGGCCTCTCAAAGTGCTGGGATTACAGGCGTGAGCCACTGCGTCTGGCCTAAGATCAGTCTTCTTAAGAGCAATGCAGATCATCCAATTCTAACATGGCAGGGGACAGTGGGAGATTGCACGTATTTGGTCTTTTTGTTTTTATGAACTGAAAAGACTCAGTTTTCTCAGACGTAACTAATTCTTGATTTCTGGAATAAGCTTCCAGGCCCCTCTATAGATATGGGCAAAATATAACAGATGCTGGAAGGGGCTATTGACCCTTCTGCACCACGGCATGGAGCAGAATTATAAGGTTTCAGTATCCCCTCAATACTCACAGATGCCAACACAATTCCATGGAAAGTGGGTCAAGTCTTTGGTCCCAGAAGATTATTTGATTTCCTCCCCTTGGCTCTAGGTAAGTAAGGTATTATTAGGCTCATTTTTAAAGGTAAGCAACTATAGCTAGAGAAGGTAACTTGCCAAACTTACACAGCCAGTAAGTGGGGAATAACATCATCTAATATTTAAGGGCTGACCATGTGCCAAGCACAGTTTAGGTGCTCCACACATATTAACTCATTTAATACAGATAACAACCATATTGTGAGTTGTTATTATTATTCTCTTTTTCCTGCTAGAAAACTGAGGCACAGAAAGATTAAATGGCTTGCCAGTCCACAGGAACGGTGGATGGTGGAAGTATAATTTGAATCCACGCAGTCAGGCTCCAGCATCCACACTCTCAACCAACCACTCTTCTCAAGCCCAGAGCTCTACTTTCTTCCCTAATAGAAGACCACACACAGCTAAGTCTTGAGGTGCAAAGGTTTCAGCCCAGTTCATCGGTGGTCGTTAACTGGGATGTGAGGTATACTTTACCCTCTTAAATGACACAGAAGACGAAATTGACCAAAATAAATAAATAAATAAAACAACCTTATACTGAGGATGACCATTCTTTTCTTTCGCATAACTTGGGGGAAAATTTACAAGTTTTCTTAAAAAAAAAAAGAGGAAGAGCAAGAAAAGAAAAAATCAAGCCTATCTACCTACCACAGAAGAGACACAGAATCCTCTGGGCTCAAACATATCAAGGTTTTCCAGTTTGCCCCTACCATGCTCCTTCATTTATGAAGCATGACTTCTATTAAAAAGATTTCTTCATCCAATGTCATTAATGAACACCAACAATGAATGAGACTGTGAGGACATAAGAATGAAGACACCCCTGCCTTCCACCTCCATGAAATGTGTAGTTAAGTTGGAGATATCTATTCAGAAAGAGGAGACTCTCTGTTTATAGACTGTAACCAAGGACTTTATCCCCCAGGTTCAGTGTAATAGTAATAGCTGGACCTAAAACAATTCTGAATGAAAGCCATCAGTGACCATCTAAATATGAACACGAGTAAGAGGAGCATGGTAATTCAAAGAGATCTTTTCAACACTCTTTCAAGTCACTGGTTCTCATGACCATAAGAAATGTTACCACTGCTGGTCACTCAGGGAATAAGAGTGCTTCAGATTATAATATTCAAATAAGCAACCTACAAATTCAATCTAAATTGGTCTTGAAAAATGAATCTCTTTAAAGCTTTAACATTTTCAGGGAGGGAAATAATCACTTTTCTTGGACATTATCTCAATATCTAATTACGTGCTGAAATAAGCACTTACTACACAAAACCAGTGGAAGCAAAGGCTTTCGTTTTTTAAAACCTGCTACTACCTCAACTGACTCTCTTTTGTCCTAACCTCAAGGCACATCAACTCTCTAACTGCCACATCTGTGCAAAAATGATTTTCACCAAAAAAACACACACACACAAAAACAAAAAAGCAACCTCATACTGAGGATGACCATTCTTTTCTTCTGCGTAACATGGGGAAAAATCTACAAAAAATAATCTGTACCAGATTAAAAGTGATCCACCTCAGACAACACAGGTTTGAACTGTATGGGTTCACCTGTGTTTTCAACCAAAAGAAGATGGAAAATGCAGTGTTCATGGGATGTGAAACCTGCATAGATGAAGGGTTAACTTTTCAACTTTTCCTGTAAGTGGATTCCTAGAGCCTACTGTGGGACTTAGGTATATGGGTGATCAATCTTCCAAGTAGATGGAGGGACAACTCTAAGTCAAAGGACACATGAAAAATAGATAGCATTTGACCGACATGATATTCTGTCATAACTCTTCGTTAAAAACAATCAGTACCTAGCTACTTAAAAAATGTGAGCACCTAGTACTTGTGCAGAATTTACTAGCAGTGAATTATTCACGTTTCTCCCATCTCACCGTCCTCTCAGCTGTACAAAGATTGAAGCTGGAGCCAATTGTACCTCATGGCAAAAATAATATCAGTCTAGGCTGGGCACAGAAGCTCACACCTGTAATCTCAGTGCTTTGGAAGGCCAAGGCAGGCAGACTACCTGAGGTCAGGAGTTGAAGACCAGCCTGGCCAACATGGTGAAATCTTGTCTCTACTAAAAATATAAAAATTAGACAGGCATGGTGGGGGGCACCTGTAATCCTATCTACTTGGGAGGCTGAGGGAGGAGAATCACTGGAACCCATGAGGTGGAGATTGCAGAGACCCGAGATGCATCCCCCTGCACTCCAGCCTGGGCAACAGAGCAAGACTCCATCTCAAAAAAACAAAAACAAACAAAAAAAAACCAGAACGTCAGTCTAATAAGTGGATACCTAGTGAGATAAGAACAATTGCAACAAAAGGCATATTATCTCCTACAGGCAGTAGAGCTCAGCTCCTTGACTTTCCTAATATTAAGAAATCAGCAATAAAAATTTTTTAATATCATTTTGCAAAAAATTGGACACTGTGTGGAAGAAACTTCCTAAGGGCCCCCTTATTCTTCGTAGCACTTCTTGTGATTATTCAGTTTGGATAATTCACTCCCACATTCGCATCAGACTTCAGAAAGGTAAGGTGAAAGTAAAGTAAACAGGATAGCATTTCACTGTTAGGCTACTTAATTGTCATGATTCTCCTCGTCCAACTTATTTCAAGTTCTGGGCCTGATTTTAATGGCAAATCGCTTCTAGCTTCCCAAAGTAGTTCAAATAGCTTCATGTGAAAACTGTTTGAAACAAAAAGTAGAAAGGAGTTAAACTTAGTAAGGGTAAATAAGAGTGGGGAAACTATTTCTGCAGGTGAAAAAAGTTAAGAGCAATGGACTGGGAAAAATAAGTTCTGAATAAAGATATGGGTGGGTTAATGCGTGAAGACCTGGTTTTTTGGTTCAGGAAGTGTGTTTTAATTCAACAAATGGCATCTTGGACAAAAGGGGAGAGCTGAGAAAATTGTAACATCACAAGGAGTCAAAAAATGTCTGTAAAATGAGGTGTCGTAGAAAAGAAGTACAAGAGTATGGAATAATTTGGGTAGAATCAAGTTGTTGGAAGGTTGAATGGGACCTCAGAAATATTAGAAATTATCTAGCTTGGCTTTATTTATTTATTTTTTGAGACAGGGTCTCGCTCCGTTGCCCAGGCTGAAGTACAGTGGCACAATCACTGCTCACACAGCCTTGACCTCCCTTGCTCAAATGATTCTTCCACCTCAGCCTCCTGAGCACCTGGGATTATAGGTGAGTGTCACCACGCCTGGCTAATTTTTGTATTTTTTATAGAGACGGGGTTTCACCATGTTGCCCAGGCTGGTCTCACACTCCTGGCTTCAAGTCATCTGCCTGCCTTGGCCCCACAGTGTACTGGGACTACAGGCGTTAGCCACTGCTCCCGGCCTGGCTTGACCTTTAGTTTTAAAAGCAAAGACATTTGAGGTCAAGGGAAGCTAAACAACTGGTACCAGTTCATACTGCTCAAGTGCAACACCCAGATGGGAAAAAAGGCGTCCCATCTCCTGTTCACCCACATCACATCACCCTGCTGCTATGCTGTGGGGTCTTACCTTCTTCCTCAACAGTATCTTCGTTATGCTCATTTTCCACATCTCTGAAATGGAGACAACACCTTGCTTCTACCTAATTCACAGGCATGTAAGGCCAAACGAAAGACAAAGCCAGAGATACCCTTAAACTTCTAGTTTTGTAGCACTTTCCCTGCCTTCATGCTGTGGCGTTCCTCTGCCAAAGCAACGCTTACAACAGCCTCTCCGGGTCACCCCATCAGAAGCCTGCAACTGTTTTTACTAATTGGTTTAAAAGACAACAGGCAGCACCTGCCTCTTGCAAGGACCCATCCCAGTGATTAAGGTCTTTTTTCTGTTGAAAATAAAGTATTTCTGAGACTGGTTCCACTGGGCAGTATCAAAGCTTCTGTGGAAACGGATTGAATATTGATAACAAACTAGAAGAATCTAAAAGGAAAGGAGAAAGGCTGGGACATCTTGCGATGCTTGAAGAAAGGAAGACAGCAGGGGGTATGTAATCTTGTGATGATCAAGAAACACGGGCAGTGT